TCATGGACCCAGAAAACAAAGCACATATTAATCTCTATGTGGAAAAAGACACTGAGCTCTACATTGTATAGAAAACCATATACTTCAGCCCCTACATAAAACGACTGTGGTCAATACCTGGAAATCCCCATGCCACAAATTAAGATTAAAATCCCACTTTAACTAGGGCAAGAAAGAAAAAAAAAGTTTTACCAATCTTTTAATATAGACTAAATGTCAATTTAAGAGTTATATACAGATATTGAGAATCTCTAAGAACAGTGGTCTCAATCTTTGGAAAGAGAGGAAAACTGTGAATTCAAACAGATTATTAGTGCATATATATGTTTGCAGTACTAGAGGTATTATTGATACTAATATTTGAAAAGGACCACAGCGAATGAACTAGTACAATCCCTCAGCAGTACTTTATATACATGAAAGAGAAAATCTGAGATTTGCACCAAGTAATAACACCAATGGAGATGAGCTGTCTTTGATTTGCAGCCCTTTTTATTAGGCTGCTAGACTCTACCTTCTGTGTCAGAGACAAAGGTGTGGAGATTAACACTTCTGTCAGTGACATGTTCATTAATTACATTTTAAACACTAGCAGAAGTAAGATCGACTTTGGCATGATAATTCCTAGTGATATTCCAGCCTACTATCACACTAACCTGCAAAGAGTTAAGAAAAAATAAAATCATAAGTATTAAATAAATTATTTTAAATAACTGTTACCAGTTTCCTCCATGTTATCCTTCCCTGCTACAGTTTTGATACTTGCTGAATTAACAAAAGTGCTCATCATACAAATGAATAAATACATGCACAAAACCAGTTTTAAACAGTGCCAGAAAAATACTACGTTTATTTCACCACACTGCTGAAAAAAAAAAAAAAAAAAAATCACTAATCACTAATTTATGATAGCACCTTTCTTTCTGCTTTTTGTTACACATGTTGGAGCTTTGGTTTTCACAAAAGATTTGCCCTTTCACAAAGATTTCTGTGATATGTGAGGGCAGTTTGCTGGTGTATGACTTGCTTTTGAATTTTCTGGAAATAAGCATACATTTTTTTTTTAAAAAAAAAAAGGGGACAAAAATATTGAGAGGGACAAAAAAAAAGTTATTTAGCGGTAAGTCATGAAACTCTGCACATGCCACAGTGAGTAATTTCTGTGAGCAACCTTTGCCTTCCTCACCCCATCTGGCCTTAATGTCTCTCACACCCACTCACTGCATCACAGCAAAAATGAGATTAAGCTCCTCGGGGCAGGGTTCTCTATTTCTGTCACTGCTCTGAAGCACCTAACATATATCTGGAAGCTACAGGTGGGAAAAGTGAAAAAAAGAATACTAGAGTCCAAGCTGTTACAACTTCATTTGTAGATTCAGATGTCCATGGATACCTTGTCACATTGCGTGGCATGAGCATTTTGTTCCAGGACTCCAAAGGAAGTGAAAGAATCTGACTAATGTGACCAACAGGCTATTGGTTATAGACACTATTTACATCCTTATCACAGTGTCCAACGAGACATGCAAAATCAGCTGTGAAGTCAGCACACCTTTTGACACAAACTTACTCAAAATGGGGTCAGGTTGCCCATGAGTACTTTGCGTATTTTTAATATTACGTTTATTTTATCCATTACTAACTTTCTTTTAAGAAGGGAGCAGGACAGATTAGCAGATTGGAATGTTTCGTTTGATGAAAAAAACAGCTACTGAGTGGAAAGATGAAGCTCAAGTTCTTCCACATTACTCCCGCAGCTCTCTTTGCCTTCCTGTGCTTGTGTTCTTCCTCTCCTCTTGCTTTAACACATACCCGTGTCCCAACTCTGACATGACATGACATCTAACTGGGAAGAGAGCTGGAAGAAATGAGCCTGTGATCTCCACAAACCACCTGAAGACAACACAGTGCTGTCAGAAAACTACCACTTGCAAATTAAATGGGCTTTACCATGTAGACCTCATTACAAACTTCTTCCACATTGAGCTGATCTATTGATTTTAATATGCCAAAGTGTTTGCACATTTATATGAATGCAAATTTTAAGCACACCATGAAACCCACTCAGGGTCTGATTCAGCACTATTGAAGTCAGTGAGGCTTATGGCATTCAAAAATTTGCATATGGTGATTCCTCAGATAGCACAGAATAGGAGATGTGCGTCCAAAAGCCTACTTCAGGACAAACCCCTTAATTTGGCCATTTTATAATGGGTTGAACTTGAAACAACATGAAGTGCCTGGTCTCGATGACAACTTAATTTGCTGGTTTAACTTCAGTGGAGGTTACTAGATCTGAGCTCTCATGAAGCTCTGGCTAAACAAAACCACAACTGGTTCCCTGTCTGTATCACCCAAAAATCAAAGGCTTCTTTGACAGAATACAGGCCTCGGTGGTTGGTGCAGGTGCTTCTGCGTTTTTGGATACAGCAGCTTTCTAGTGAAGATTTAAATTCACCTGTTTGCTTGGGGCAAGGGCACAAGGAGTTGGGAGGAGGGAGAGAGCCCTTCCCGCTCCTGCAGCTCTGCCGGGAGCAGTCCTGCCTCCCCAGCAGCCCAACGGCACGCTAAATCCACGGGCACTGCAACCCAGTGCATGGCAAGCCGGTCCGGACTGCGAGTCAGCACCCATTCTGACTTTTACAGAAAAGGCTGAGCTGCTCTCAGGCCACTCTTGGGCTGGGCAAATAAATTTCGGATGACGCGGCCTTCACGTGGCCTTCATTTTCCAACCATCGGGAAATCATTCTCTGGAAATGAAAAAACAGCCTCTGTGTAGGGGAAGAGTCCCTTCCACACATCGAGACAGTCTTCAAAGCAGAAGACTTTTAGCTTGCAAATATGTCATAAATCAGTGCGCATTTCTGTGCGACACAAGTTCACCAACCAGTTATTTTGCTGGACTCAGAGCTGGTTTCTGCCTCCTGTTATCAGCAAAGCATACTGCTCTGGGGACTGCATACAAATTACTGAAATTACTTTGCGGGGGGGAGAGGGTGATGAAAAAGAAACATACGTGTGTTACATCAGCCGCTGGTCATCTATTTCTATGTATTTTTAAGACAGTTTCTCACCAGTTGAATAACTGAGGTAAACTAGTGTGAAGAGAGAGCTAGCAGCTTTCCTCTCTTCCAAATGTGTCACACTCAAGCCCTTGGGTAGATAACTTAGTGAACACATGTTATTGTCAGCTTCTTTACATTGTTTGTCTAGAACAGCAGGTGCCACGCTGAGCTGCAACGGGGCATCAAGGAAAACCTGCCTCTGTGTCAGGGCAGCCAGGATAGCCTGGACTTCCATAAGGACTAATTGGCACTCCAGTAAGAAAAAACTATCCTCAGCCCTACTCAGAGGGAAATATTGTAGTGTTTTTAGCATCCTTTTGGATGCTTTTAAGGAAGGCTGCTCTCAGGGCTCCTGCATTTCATCAGCTCTCCTTCTCATGGAAACTCTAAATCATGCATTTAAAAATAGACCACCAGATTATCTGGGTAAATCATAAAGCTCGGCTTATCTCTCTCTTCCCCTTCAAAATATACAATTTATTTTGTCCACCAGCTCAGCAGCACGAAGCCATGAATAATCCCGTTTGTCTCAGTAACCCCACTCTTTTGATTGTCCCTGTGTACCTCCATTACGTGCCTGTATTTCCCGCTGGGGTGTGTGTGTCTGTGTGGGCATGTAAGGAAGAAGGAGGAATTCACAGTTCTGGGCACAAAGGTGTACAATTCAGCGTATGGCAGGGTTTAAGCCCATGCCAACTGTGTGCGTTCTAGCATCGCAACACAGCCTTACACAGCCATGGAGAATAATACCAAGATTCAGCAGAAGTAATGTGCTAAGTACTTCAATTACGCATTAAATCGTTAACACCAACCTAGACCCCAGAACCCCTGTGGTTCCCCTGAGGGCAGACATAATCAATGCAATGTGAGGGAGGACACAAAAATTTTTCAATTTCTTTCCCATAGGCAACCACATAATGGCCCCTTAAGCGGCAAACCTTGACTCCCAGCCCCAGCGTTTCCCATTCGTGCATCTCCTCATCCTCATCCTCATCTTTCTTCCCCCCCCCCGCCAGTGCTGCCCATCAGGCCACGGGAGCTGGAGAAAGCCCTGCAGGGCTATAAATAGCTACTCGGGGGAGGTGGTGGGGAGAGTGCAGCAGCACGTTTCCGAAGATGCTTGCTGCAGAGGGAGGTTTCGCTGGATTAATTCAGAGGGGAAAGGGAACTGCTGGGAAGTTCACTGACATAGCAGTTCATGTCTGTGGAGGGGAGGCCGCCCCGGGGAAGCCGAAGGGGGGAATGCCTCTCTCGGTGGGAGGACAGGGAGGGGGTTTTACTCCTTCGAGCATCCCACCTATTTCCGATCGTTTCTGCAGAGCCCCCCACCCCCCCCCCCCCCCCACCCGTCCGTGAGATGGGCCGTGGGCACGAAGGGCCCACGGCGGAGAGAGACAGCCAGGAGAGGAATAAACTCGATGCTGGAAGTGTTATTAGCGCAGGCAGCTCAGTGTCTACGCCAAGTTTACACCGAGCCGAGCGGCGTTATTTGCACGCACTGGAAGTGCACCGACTGTGCGTGCGGCGCTCCTGAACCTGCCCCGGCGTGGAAACGCTACTGCTGGCTCTGGTCCCCCGCTCCGCTTCTCCTTCGAGAAACAAAGCCGAGAGGTCCCGTCTCTCAGGAGCCTCCGTGCCGTGTGTGTCCTGTGTGCGTCCATCCCCGTCCCTCCCGCCCCCCCCCCCCCCCCCCCCGATGCCTCCCGGAAAGTTTCGGGAACGCCGCCCGAAGCCCACCAGGTCGGTGCTCGCCCCTTCGCCGCCGGGGACACAGCGGGGCACTCCCCGCTCACGGACACCCCACCACCCCCACACCCCACACCCCCCCCCCCAGGGTCCGCGCTTCCCCTCCGCGCCTCTCCGCGCTTCCCCGCCCGCCGGGCACGCACCGCGCGGCTGTGCGCTGCTGCAGTGCCCGGCCCGGCCCTTTCTCACCGTCCTCCAGAGCCGCTGCCGCTTGGCACTGACGGAGGTGGCGGTGACGATGAGGTGGGAGACGGACACCACTAGCCCGAAGACGATGGCCAGCAGGGTCCGGACGGGCAGCAGCGAGTAGGAGACGAAGGTGACCAGCATGAGTTGCCACATGCCCTGCTCGGGGGCGCTGGGGGGGTCCATGCCGTAGGCGCCGAACGAGAAGGGGCAGCAGAGGAAGGAGAAGGTGAAGCTGAAGAGCAAGGTGAGCTTGACGATCTGCTGCAGCTGGGTGACCTGCAGGTACTTGACATTGGTGACGATGAAGAGGGAGAGGAAGATGATGCAGTGCACCGGGTGCGAGCCTTTGGAGATGGTGAGGCTGGGGCCGGAGAGCAGCTCCACCAGGGCCAGGCTGGCGGTGAGCACGATGAGGACGGCCAGAGCCTTGAGGGTGGACGTCTGCTCCAGCTTCAGGTTGTAGCTCTGGAACAGACCCTCCAGCTCCTTGCAGTCAAACTCGTCCTCGCAGGCGATGGCATCCAGCAGCAGCAAGGGAGGGGGGTCCCCCAGCCCGGCTCCCGCTCCCGCCGCCGCGGCTGCCGGCGGGGAGCAGCAGCAGTGGCAGCACTTCTTCCTCTTGGTCTTGACTTTCTGAAACGGTATTTCCTCCATGTCAGTGCCATTCATAAACCCCGGGGAAGAAATGCTCCTCCTGGTGTCCCCCGCTGCCGCTCCTCCGCCTCGCTGCTCATAAAAGAGAGAAGGGGGGGCTGCGAGCAGGAGCCGCGGCCGCACGCCCGCCAGCAGCCCCCGCCGCCGCAGCTCCGCGGCCGCGGGCACCGGGCGCAAACGCCCCCCCCCTCCGCTGCCACCGAGGAGCCGGGGATGGCTGGGACGGCGGGAAGGGAGCCTCACTCGTGTTAATATGCCAACCTTCCTGCCTGCTGGCTCTCGCTCTCTCTCCCCCCCCCCCCCCCCCCCCCCCTCCACCACCCTTCTCCTCCCCCTCCTTCTCCTCCTCCTCCTCCTCCGGTGTTCTAGGGATGTTAATCTCCTAATGACACCAAAACACCATCCAAAGGTTTGAAATCAAGCGGGGGGTAGGAGGGCAGAGAGGGGGTGGAAGTGGGCAGAAGTAGGTGGGGGTGTGTGTGTGTGGGGGCGATAATCAACAGGCGGGTCTCCCTTCAGACACCGATATTTGGAGGAGCAGGAGCTACGGACAGCGGGATGGTCAACGGGCTCCCAGGGAGTGGGCAGCGGTAAAATAAATAACTAAATAAATAACGACAAGGGGAAAAAAAAAAAAAATGAAACCCAGACAGGGGACTGGGTTAAAAGGAGGAAAAGTGGGGCAGAGAGGCCGGAGAGAAAAGCAGGAGGCAGGGAAAGGCAGGGCGATTCCCTTCCCACGGCCGAGCGCATCTCACCGGCGCCGGGGAGCGCGGGGCGCCTGCGCCGCTCGCTTGGGAACCCGGACACGTCCCCCGGCGGGGCAGCGCGGGCGCGGAGCGGGGGGGGGGGGGGGGGACGGGACCGTCCGCACCCTGCGCAGCGCCCGCGCCCAGCGCAGCGCCCGCCGGCTGCCCAGGCGCACAGACCTTGGAGCTGAGGCTGCCGTCTGGCTGCCTTGCCTCGCCCGCCCGCCTTTACATTTACTGAAATACATAGGAATATACAAAATCTGTATGTAAGGACACAGAAATGTGTGTATATGTATATTTACATTTACATGTAAATCTATAAAAATACATATACAAGCATAGGTGAATCCTGATTTGAGAAATAAAGTCTTATCTGCCTGAATAAACACGCTGATTTTACTCGTTTTGCCTTTCAGACTCTGAAGCAGTTGGAGGAAGTGCAGTGAATGAGGAAATTTTCAAGAAAACAGGTTTCTGTGCGCACTTCTGCCTGTCTGGGAGTACAAATTGGTCAGTGGCTGTGGAGGGCTGCTCTCGTGACAGGAGTTAATGATCATTCCCCATAAAATTGCATTCAGTGCCTCATCAAAAACTTGGGAGTCTGTGTGTTGGTTTTGAAAAAAACCTTCCAGCTCTGCCTATAATGCTACTACCATTAATACTACCACATACCACTATTACCAAGTTGCCATCAAAGAATACAATACTGTAATCTTTTCTGTAACCATTGCGTCTGATTTGGGGTTTATGAGACTGATTCCAAACTCACTGAAGACCAGAGAAAGGACTCCAGTGTTTCTTCTGGCTTTGGCTCAAGCATTTGTAAGAATCAGGTCTCCGAAAATGTCAAAATAGAAGACTTTAATAGGTTACAAACATTTGGCTTTTCAAAGGTAGTGCAGGAATACTTTCCAGAATCAAACCAGAATCACGGGTATGTTGAAGATCTAATTGCTGATTTTTGTGTCAGTGCTCCCAGATTCTGGTTCTGGATTTGGGCCGAAGAGCCTCAAGATCAACAGCAGGCAGGAATTCTTTAAGATTCGTTACAGCTGTGAGTTATGTTGGTACTTAATTTCTGTATAGGAAAGCTTTAAAAAAAATATCTCTGATATATGATCTAAAGCAACATAGTTTTTTGTATTAATATTTTAGTACTTTATGTTGATCTTAGCTCTCCAGACTCAGCAGTCATTCTTTTGAACCTATATAGACCTCATTAGAAAAAAAGGAATGAATCAGCATTGCTGGAGTTTGTGTGTTACAAGTTCAAAATATTTCACACTTGAGACAATGCCTGTTACTTACTTCGTGTTCACGTGATGCCACTCATGGTGGTTTCCTCGTCTGCGACTTAGGCCTTCAAACACTACAGAGCTGCAAAAATAGCTGGTATTTAGATTTCTGTAACTTCTTTCAGGAAGAAAGTAAAGGAGTTGGATCTGCTGGCCCGAGTGCTGGAAACAGGAAGAGATGTTTACCTGAAATTAAATTAAATATAACAAAGAAAGGCTTCCTTTGTTTTGCAGTATCTCTAGTGTGTTTGGAAAGCTAATGAAATCCATCTTCTTGTTCACTTTGGTGCATAAATTCACTTAAGTCGCACATATATTAGACAAATACGCATTTTTATACTTTCACCTGTCTTCAGCTTTCTTCTGAGCTCATACATCCTGCAGGATAAATGAATATTTCACATCTCACACTGCATAAAAGGTGGCAACTAGCTGCCCAGCCCTAGGAACGATCCACTGAAAGAGCTGTCATGCTAGCAGTTATCATTTCTTTCTTCCAGCTCTCAGCTTGCTGCTGGGAAAATGGAAGGTGAGTAATTCCCTACAAGGCACCCTGTGGTTTAGATTATTTTCGTGCTTCTTACAACCTCAGGTTGGATTAGTTAGTACATACATACAGCAGGGAAGGCCCATATGTTTGAGACATACACATCCCCATTAGGTCAAGGCTAAGCAGTGAACTGATGAAGCTTCGTTTTCTGTAGACACTGTAGGAAAATGGAAATGCCACACAGTGATTAATGAAACTCTTCCACCCTTTATGCGCTGTTTTACATCACAGGGCAAATACCTCACCTTACCCTGCATAGTGAAGAGCCCAGTTTTTACCACTTGATGTCACAAATACAAAGAAGGAACCTCAGAACCTTTGTCTGAAGCAGGCATCTCATTAAAGCAAATAACCAGCTATAAAACTGGAATGCACTTGACACAGCACTGTATTTTCTGACCAAACTTACCTGCTGCAAATGGCAGCAGCCTGGTTGGGGTTTTGTGAACTATGAACACCACTTTGTGGTCTGTATTACACTTCTGGTTCCACTAAGGAGGATACATGGTTGGTTTTGGTATATAATGCCCTCAAAGCTCTGGATGCTGGCCAGATCCAAGCCAGCTCTTCCTGTTGAATGCCCCTGCATTTGTAGCCAGAGACTACACTGGGAATAAATGTGGTATTGACAGGAAAGGGCGATTAGAGCCCAGCTTTATCACCTTTCACATTGCAAAACCTTTCTGTTTTTTCAGCCTTTTCCTAAGAGGTAAGTTGACTTGGTTGTTTGAGTCACTGGAAATGGAAAACACTTCTTCATAGAGAGTTGGGCAGTATATGGATCTAGGTAGCACTAAGAAGTCTCTCTACCTTTTACTAGACTTTAGGAATAGTCTTGAACTAAAGGGCTACTCAGAGGTTCAGAACATTTTTTTTTTTTGTTTGTTTACTTTGAACATATAGATTATCCATTTAATAATTATTTATTTTTCACTATCTATCTTGTTTTACTTTATTGAATTCGGTACTTGCTTTTTGTATCTCCTCACCTCCAACAGCTTCAAGCTCTCACTGCCTGATGCATTAGCTGGAGATCATCTTTGGAAGCAATACTTTTCATAGAACTAGAGCTTTTTAGATTCATGACAGTTTTTATAGTTAAGCATAATCAAAGTTTGGCATCAATAGAATTTGTGTCGGGTTAATTTCTATCTGAGTGAGAATTGCAAAGGTCATCTTTCACCCATGTTTAGGATTGCTTCCTTGTAAGAGAATGCCATGCTATATCATCTGAGACAGGGATAGAAATCTTTTTTCTCCCCCCCTCTGACAGTAAGAGTAAGGACTCTGCATAAAGATATTGAGAATTTTCTGCAGACTCATTCTAGCAGGCACAGCTTGTTAATGCCACCACAGAAATGTGTCTAGCGAGAGAAAAGCAGTGATGTGGGCAGGACAGAAGAGGTCCTGCAGAAAACGGTAGGAATGGTCAGACTTAAACATAAAAATTCAACGGAGCTTTTTGCTCCTCTCACAGATATCTGACACATATTCACTGTTTTTTCTATATTTTAAGTAAAACGAAGGTTTGAAAAAAGTGAAAGTATGTTTTTCCAAATCATGCACAGATTTCATCTGGAAACAGTATGGGGACTTCATTTACACTGGTACTTCAAGAAACATAGACTAGATTTCCGTAAGGCTAGTGAAATACCATTTGAATGGATCGCATGTGCATTGTAATAACTGTTCCTTGAAATTAATTCTAATTTTAAGGTTTGATTTATGTTGCATGCGTTCTGATGGAGAACAGATGAAACAGATAGTTCTGATATATACCACTTCCAGAGTTAAACTTTAGCTGCAAGTTTGAATTCACCTGATTAGAGTTTCTCCTACAGAGCTGAAATAAAATTTGTCCAGCAACAGCAAGTGAAAGCCTTACAATACTTACGAGTTGGGTTGTTAGGAAACATTAGTATTTAACCTCAACACTTTTCTCCAAAACAACTTCCTGGTTTAAACTTTTCTTTTGTGCTTCTTCATACAAGAACCAGTTTAAAGAAATGAGCAGTTACCTGAGGTACCCAGAACAGAGTTGAGTCTTTCAAGGGTAAATTTAGGTTATATCACTAATCACTCAATTACAAACCCATGCCTTAGCTTCTGCTCAGGTCTACCAGCAGCACTTTTGCTCACTCAGTTTACTCTGGACCACAGAGTGGTTTTGCACTCAGACTATTTTAATCACAATTCTATCTGTATAGAAGTCTATTTAGTTGTGTAATCTATTGAAAAAAAAAAAAAATCAGATGAGAAGAAAATTACATTAAGGCCTTGACCTGAAGTCACTTGTCAGACAAGACTGCCGCTGAAGCAATGAAGAGATTTGACCAAAAAATAATATGGTTAAAGCGGCTAATTTGCCAGCAGAGAATGGGATTGGGTTTCCTCCAGTCCTCTGCTGAGCAGAGAGTACAGACATTAAGAGCATTTGAATCCTTTGCCTGTCTTCTATTCTAAGCCTTCCAGGATAGCATGAGACTTCTGTGACCTACTGAACTTCTATATTAATACTAATGAATCTCTCCAGTGAGCAAGCAACGTGCTTTTCAGCCAGCATGGATTTATAGCAGGTCAGCTGGATCCTTCCAGCTTTTGACAAGTCATTCATTTCCTCTATCAGTACTGCATCAACCCTGATTTATCCTTCATCTAAAATTAGAGCCATCTAAAGTTTATTATATAGGCAAAATTTCAGGGAAGGGGGTTGGTGCAATTTTCATTGACTGTTCTTTTATGATCTCTAGTAAGACACAGTCCTCAGGAGCTTCCCCAAATACCACACCCCATCTGGCCATGTTTCTGCCTCACCACTCCCTACTGCATCCTCCCTGTTACCTCAGGGAAATGTCAGCATCTTTCCTTCAAGAGCCTGTGGACAGTAACAACATGGAAATGACACATGAAATGTTTCAGAGCTTCTTCAAAACAGTTTGCTGCGTACTTCACCAAGGGGGTATACCACAGTGATATATAATGATTTCAAAAAACCTATCAGCAAAACAAGAAATCGCGAACCATCTGCAGAACCGCCACGGCACTTGCACCCTCTGCCTCCGTTATTTCAATTTGGATGTCTAAGTCCGAGCCTACTCTTTTTCAGTGGAGAACAGTGTGCCGAGAGGGTGTGATGCAGCTACTGTCAGGTGGCCAGGAGTGTCCTGGTGTACCCTCGTGCTACAACTCGGCCCCATGCAGAGGTCCCGAAACCCGCGCGTTAAACCTGCGCGTTACGCAGCCTCGCAGCCGTGCCAGAGCATCCCAGCCCAGCCTTCGTGCTGTGTTTACGTGGTTGTGCAGTCACCAGGTCTGGAGACAGCTTGTTCAGGGTTGCCTTGGGATCTTTGCACTGCAGTCTGGAGACTAGAAATATCACATGTCAGCCTGCAGCAGCTGACAACCTTTTCCCTTCTTTCCTTGTAGTAAGGCAGAAGGATCTTCAAGTTCCCATCCAAGGGGAGGATACAGCCCAAGCAGTTGTATTTGATTGTTTCCTTCAATAAAGCTATTATTTTATCTTTCCTGGTCAGCCTGGTTAACAGACTTTTTCTGAGCCAACTCCACAGTTGATATCTCACAAAAAACACAGTTATATAAAGCTGCATCAGTTCTCAGGCAAAATACAAATATTTTTGAGTTCCCACAAGTTTCCTTTTGCAAATCCTTTCAGAAAAACAAGGGAAAGAAAACAAACCCAACCCTTCTCCCCCCACATCTCAGTACTTGTCCATGCAACAGAACAATTAATATTTCCCAAATCAGTTAGCAGATTCGGTAGCAATTTCTGTTATGCAGGTGATCTGATTGACCAAGGCATTCTTAAAAATCCCTTAGCTGTAAAAAACACTCAGTAAAATTGAGACTACTTGGAAGAAAATATTTTTAATTCTGCTTGTTTCCATGTCAAGCATTCAATTCTCATTTTAGGAATTCTGGAAATGTCTAGCATCAGGGTGCTGGCAGTGTTTGACAACATAACACGGCTCTGATCCTGCTCCATGAAATCAAGGGAAGTTTTGATATTCACTGCAGCTATATTAGCCCTGATATTATAACTGTGCTTATTTCCCAAGGAAGGTTTCTGTTCCTTTTCATCTTCATATTGCCATTGTCTAAGGTAAGACCATGGTGCTGTTCAAAGCCTGTAGTGTTCTTGTTTGCCTAATTAATGTAGTTTAGATGTATTTCAGAGTGTGTGTAAGGACAAGCATTTTGCTTAGTGTAACCCCTTGAATCCCCTGAAAAGGAAAAGCCAAGATGTAAGCAAAATAAAGACAAATTATAGCTGAATTCCGCAGTTCATTCCTAGCCATATTTCTGATATATCCATTTAAAAAAAAATATAAATTAAATAGCAATTCATATTAACCAGATCTGGTATCCACCTATTTTTCTCAACTCTAATTTATACTGCACAAGTATTCTTGAACCAGTTATGCTAAAACATGGTTTTATTATTTATGAACTGAAACTTTACTAAACAGCACTTTTTTCCTGTTTGTTTATTTATGTATTTATTTATTGTTGTTTTGTTTTATTTTAAATTCAGGCTATCAGTTGCTTATTTTTTTTTTTTTAATAGCATATATATTTTCATTATGTCAAGTTTTCACTCTTGGTAACATTCAGGATGTGCTCTGCTATGACTTTCCATCACA